AGCTGCAGCAGAGGGTTCACTGTCTCTGTGGTCATGCAGCCAGAGGAATGGTGCTCAAAGATGAGGCCTTCCTTTTATGGCTGAGGCTGGCTTCTAAACTGGACACRAGTTAGATGATAATAGTTCACCAGGTAAATGAGGGTAAAGGTGGAGCCAGGGTTGGGGACTGGTAGGTGAAACAGTTTCTCAGGAAACAGTGCATTTTTTAACTGAAGTCACTATTTCCCAGGTAATTATATCATTTTATTAGCATAATCTTATATTTCAGTATCCACTGTGTTGTGCTGTTCKGAGGTCTCAGTTGATAAGAAGTGCAAGGGCATCCTGAAAGGCTTCCTTCATTTTCTGCTTCACCTCCCTCATTTTTCCAGCGAAGTGGAAACAAAAGCACCAGAGATGAATGCAGTCTAACTGTTCAAAATGAAATAAGTGCCTCTCAAATGTACAGATAATAAAATAAGCACTGAGAACTGATGCCATGTAACTCATTCTGTGACTTTAAAAAGAGATATTGTGGAATTTAATTGATTATAACACTGATATATCCATAAGATTAATCTCTGTTATCAGTCTATGAAAATTGCCACCAAGTGATCCCTTGTGCCCATCCTCAGGGTATTTCATATTTACCAGATTTCTCATCTTTCATACAACTCTAGATTTGATGTGATGATTTTTCTGCTTTTCCAACATGTGAGGGTGACATTGTTGTGGTGTAAATAATCAATAAAATCAGTAAGAGCATAAGTTATAGTTTATAGAGTAGTAAAAAATAGAGATTATAGATATAAGATTTGGTAAGTGAGATAAGATAATTATAAAGCAAGAGCTGTCATAGACTCCATTTTGCTGCCTTCTGTAAAAAAAAAAAAAATGTTGCACAACCCATTTCTGAGAGACAGAAACAAAAGCTATCTCCTTATTAAAATTTGTTTCTCTGTACTTTGTACCCCACAGAATGTCCTCAACTCAGGATATGGTGGTCGTCGAGGTGAGCTACATCCTGGGTTTGAGTACATTTATGGGTCTACATGACCTTAAAATAGATTCTCGCCCCTACTCAGCTGAAACTCAGGATACAGTAGTCTAACACTTGTTGGGACCGAGATGTGGTTAAGCTAACTGCTTTTTTTAGCTTCTGTAACTTGTTTGCTTGCATGATGCTGACAAAAACTCCTGAGTTCTAGTTTTCATCCTTAAATTCCCAAGACACAGGCCAGGAAATTGCTGTTCTCCCACAGAGATTCAGTCTCTATAGGTGGGTGACAGTTCCCTGGCCAGGTAAATAAAGCTCTCTTTGATTTGAATTCGGACCTAGAGTGTTTTCTGAAGTGGCTTCTCAAAACATCATAAATCTTCACAAGTCTATCTAAAGACACAATAAGTTATTTTCTGTCCCAGGGGGTTCATCCGTCCTTTGGTGAGGCATTATTCCTATCTGTTTTCAAAGCCACAGCCTATTGGGGAAATTTTGCCAACTCCACTCTTGAGAAAAAGTATAGGGTCCTCTAAGAGGGACTCATCCATATTTACTCCCTCATCACTTCCTTTCAAGCCCATTTTCTTTACCAAATCCAATATAGTCAATTCCTCACTGGGGTTTGGGTGATTAGGAGAGGAGACAAAATTTATTTCTTCTTATTTYGCTGTTATTCCTCTTATTTTCTATCTCTGCTTCAAGTCATTTCCATTCTCCAAATCCTTTGGATTTTGAAATACAAAAGCCAGGAGAAACAATCACTGTTTCAATAGCAATATCCCATCCTGAGATTTGAGCTCAAGATGACTTAGTTAAAATTTAATGGGAGATATTACAAGTATTAAAGGGAAACCATAAAAAAATACTAAAAAGCAATCAAAACCCTCCTCCCACAAACACATAAAAGTCTAGGACCAGGTAGCTTCCTAACTGAATTCTACTAAGCATTCAAAGAAGAATTAACACTAATATTTCTTAAGCTCTTCCAAAAAATAGAGCTAAAGTGAATAATTCTAAATACATCTTATGAAGCCAGCATCATCTTAAACCCTAAGCCAAATAAAGATGTCACATGAAAACTATATATCAATCTTTCCAGTTAACAATGATGAAAAATCTTTAATAAAGAACTAGCAATCTGAGTCCAATAMCATGTCAAAAAGATTATAGATCATGATCAAATGGAACTTATTCCTTACATGCAAGACTGTTTAACATTTTCAAATCAATTCATGTGACACATCAYGTTAACAAACATCATAATGGGGAAAAAAGCATTCAAAAAGATTATTTATTAAAAACTCTTCATAATTATGATATAAAAGAAAATTCGTCAACATAATAAAACCAATTTAGAAAAAAAAA